TGCCATTAACAGAAACATAAAAATCGTTAAAAGTTGTCGTAGAAAACAATCTGAGATTTGAGTAATAAAAATACACAACAAGCATGGCATCAGGTTGCACATCACCAAGATACTTTTAACCAAGCTTGATTCGCAAATAGTAATTTTCTATTCCCAAATTATCTTGTCTAATAAGAACGTTGTGCATATCTAAAGCTAATTCAGATCTAGGCTAAGATGGCGCAATGGACAGACAAGATTGGTCGTTAATATTTCGGTGAAGTAAAATATCAAGAACTGACAGCATGTAATTCAGTCCCGAATATTAGATATGCAGCCTATAAAATTTTGGCAACAGGGAAAAGAGGAAACTCAATTGAGAATTGAAAACCTCGGCAAAGTTGCCTTTTTCCAACCCAAAATGCTCTCACCAGAGATATTATAACTATACAACACGAATCTAAGCAAGAGGTAAGAGGCAAAAGCGAAAAACTTCAATCAAATTTAGATTAAGACAAGCACTGTAATATTGAAGTGTGTATGCTCAGGCAAGCATTTCACATTTCCCTATCAGAGTAACTATGACAAAAGCTTCACTTGAAATATTATTCCATAGCTTTTAACTAGTACTCATCATTTAGAAGAGTTGGGACTGAAAACAGATCAGCTCAGTAAACAGATAAAATAACAATTTCACATCAAGCAAGGTCAATGAAAACTATTAGCTTTAATGGACACTATACTGTAGGATTTATTACTATTAAACATAATGTTAGCACACTGGAATTGGCTGGTATTGTAAGATCTCCCCAGCTGAAATATTCAAGCAGGCCAATTGCAATATAGGCAACAGGGAAAAGAGGAGACTCACAAAGGATCAATCACCTCGGCAAAGTTGCCTGAGTAGCTCAATAAATTTCATTCTATCTGTATCGTTATGTTCTTTACAAGTACACAACTCATCTTATGGCAGTTCATCTTATTAGACTCTTTAGACACTACTCGAGGATCTATTACTGTTAAATTCAATGTTGGCGCACTTGAATTGGCTAGTATTGTAAGAACTCACCAGCAGAAATATTCAAGCAGACCAATTGTAATATAGGCAACAGGGAAAAGAGGAGATTCACAGAATCAATCACCTCGGCAAAGTTGCCTATTAACTCAATAAATTTCATATAATTATTATTGCCATGTAATTTACAAGTACCCCATGATTCATCCTATTTCAATGCAACTTTAGATACTTAAAATTAGATTCTAAGAAATAGGTGCTTACGTATGAATAGACCTGAGCAGAAGTAAGATGATGTCCTCTATCAGAGTAACTATGACTAAAGCTTCACATGGATGTCAATCCATAGCTTATATAAAACTTTCATCATTTAGAGGAACCTTTAAGGATATACAGCAAATTGAGATGCACA